AATAACAAAATAGTACCTTTTTATTTTATTTTATTTTATTTTACAGTCAAAGTGAATGTGAACAGATGCCATAGAGCTCCTAAAAATAACTTTATTTTATTTTGCCGTTTTATTTTTTACTTTACCATTTTATTTTGTTTTATTTTGAATGTGGACAGATATAATGAAAAATTTTAATTTTTTATTTTATTTTTACCTTTTTATTTTTTATTTTTCATACAAAAGATTTATGTGAAGACCAAAATTTGTTGAAATTTGATGAAAATAAAATACAATCAAATATGGTGCCTTAAGGACATGGCAGGCCAAATTTGAGTTCAGTCAAACCATATTGGTTCTTGAGTTTATTGACCAATCTTCACTGATGCCAAACCTGCCTCTTTTCATCTTATTGCACCATATTTGATTTCAGATTTGATCTGTTCCTCACAGAAATCAGTCATGTCTTCAAAGGACTTGGAGTGCACAAATAGTATGCCCCCGCTTCTATGGTTCCTTTATGATCATTTAGGGAGTTTGACAGGAAAAAAAGTGCAGCGTGAACACTCATCAAAGCATCTCCTTTTGTTTTCCACTGAAGTAAAGAAAGTCACACAAACAAAATTTTCATTTCATTAAAAGTCACTTTTGGTGACTCTGTGATGAATGAATCTGAATCTGTCCTTCCACTTGTCAAAAGTGATTCTCCCTCGTTAAACTAGTGTAAACTCACCCTCCTCCACTTTAAACCGCTCTCCTCCTGAAGTTTAAGAGTCGCCCACCCTCTTAAACCCCTGCGATGGCATGGTGGGTTTCCTGTAAAGAATTCAGATGAAGAGAGAACAACAGGGTGGGTCTCCTCAGAAGAAAAACAAGCTTTGAAAGATTGACTGCTGAAGGAGGAGGGGAGGGAGGCTAATTATACACACACACTCAGTTTCTCTCTCTGAAGAACAATTCACTGAACCCAGAGTCCATTCAATTGCTCTCTGCCTTGTTCACAAAGACCTGTCAGGATTTTTAAGGAAACAGCATTAAAGATGTGGCTTACTTAATTAGCTCATGCCATTGTTGCCGCAGTGACTTAAACAACACTTGCTCGTACAGACGCGATTGTCTTCAGGGGAATATAATGGTGGCACGGGATAATAGATAATCAGTTTGGAGATGCCACAACATTTGTTCTGCTTCATAAAGCCGGTGTTGTTCTGCGTAAGAGTGCACTTCTGAAACGCATGCAAACGCTGAGATGTAACCGCTGACTGGAGTCATTTCATTAGACGTTAAGTGGTTCCTTTTAGTGTTTTAGGTCAAGTTTGTTTGGTTGCTTATTTTCGTATTAATTTTTTAATGGCAGTAAGTCACTGATTACAGACCGTTGAAATGATTCGCAGAAACTTCTTGCATTTGGATTTGTGCATTTGCATGGAAATGTGAGTGGAGCTTGTTGACACGATGACGGGGTGTCAAACTTAAGCTTTTCCTCATCTGTCCTTCATATTTCTTTGGCTTTTTGCGGTTGAAATGCTAGTGAGTGTGGTTGAGATGTATGAGTTTGTCCCCTGTCAGAGGAAGTGTGTGTTGTTTGAGGATAATGAAGGGGTGTGGCTTCATTTGCACTCCCATCATAGCGCCAATCACTGCTACTGTAAATTGAAGTGAATTTAAGTTTTAGTCTTTGGCTTTACATAAATACTATTGTGTTTTCTTGATACTCAGTGCTAGTTTGCTGTCTTTTGTGTTGATTCTCATGCACAACCGTCATAAAACATTGTTTTTGCCGCATTAAGGTCGATATAGATTATTTAAATTTTGAAAGAAAAAAATTATAATTCATAATTCGGTATAAAGAACATCAGGTCGGCGCTGATAGCCGCGTGGGCAGTGTGCAGACAAACCCGGCTCGTGGACTGGCTCTCTCCCACTTCGCTTCCTGTCTACCAACTGTCCTATCAAAATAAATGCAAAAAAAAAGAAAGCACATCAGTATGCACATGTGCAATGACTCACATTATAGTACTAATTTTAATCTTAAATTTCTTGAAATGTATATAGTTTACAGAAACCAGAAGTGAGTACCACCTAAGACTGAAATGATCTACAAAGAGATTTTGTAAGATTTTATGTATTAATGTAATGTTATATTTATATTTGATATATTAAATGAATTAAATGCATTAAATCAGCTATAAAATGCAAATAGAAAAGAAAAATCAATATAAAAATATATATAAAATATATTGAATTACTCGCTTTTATAAAAAATTCTGTAGAGTAAATGTATACTTGTATGTAAATTATATTAGATATTATGTCACATTCTTATATTATATAGACATTAAATACAATGCATTAAAAATACATTTTAATGCATTTAATGCAAATATAAATGAAATATTGAAATATATCAAAAACATTTTATTGAATTTCTAGCACTTATTTATTATATTATATTATATTATATTATATTATAATTTATGTAGTAATATAAGTTCCCATATATTTGAATGCATGTAATGCAAATATAAATTGTATTTGGAAAATTCTTAGATATTTATTAAATATTTAATTATTAAATGAAAATATCTTATATTGAATTTCCAGCTACTGTATTTATGTATGTATATATATATATATATATATATAAACCTTTTTCTTTATTCAATTAATTAATAATTAATAACTCAACTTTGTAATGATGAAAAAAATTAAAATGTATGAAGAGTATCAGTACAGTGCTGACCATGGGTTCGTTCATCGCGATCTTACAAAGTTCCGTTATTATCAATGAAGCGCTCTAAACTGCACAATGAATCTCTTATTTACATCGCGTCTGTTCTGCACTTAGTCATGAGATGATTCACGAGCGTGCAAAACTGCACTTAAAAACTGCGGCGCTTTCAGCGGTGAGTGAATTCTGACAAAATGTTTCTGATTGGCCATTGCGTTTAAGAAATCAACAGATATGTCTGTGATTGGTTACATTGCTCAACGCTGCAAAAACACATTGAGGGTATTTAGCGCTTGGCTAAGCGCTTGAAATTGCAGCGGGGCCGACATCAGGGACTCCATGGCTAACAATTTGGGGGGGCAAT